TGAGAGAGGAGGATGAAGGAGGGAAGCCATGGCCATGGTGGACTTTCTTGTTGTTGTTGTGTTGTGAGTTGAGTCAGCAGTAAGGGGGAACTTCGAATATTGATTCTGGTACATCCATTCACTGTTATTATTATTGTTGAGAGAAGAATAAGATTGGCGGATTGAAGGAGGAGGAGGAAGGTGGAGAGAGAAGGGGGAAATTGTCATTTGTCTTGTTGGTGTACTTCTTCTTCTTCTTCTTCTTCTTCTTTCTCTCTCCTCCGGTCTTTATCTCTTTGCAAGTACTTTCATTTCCTTCGCAATTTGGTGGCATAGTCTTTCATTGTGAATTTGCACTTTGGAAATGACCGGGATCGTAACAATTGGTATCGGAGCGGACTTCCTTGCTGGCAAGAGGTGTTAGTCACCCTAACCGTAATTCCGAATTAGGTTAAGGCTGACCTAATCTCGAATTAGGGTTGGGAAGTTAGGGTTAAGTGGGGCAGCGAGGTATGGGGATATGCTGCCCCCACCTGGTTAGGTCATGTAGGGTCGACATTGGACCCAACAGGTTGCTTGAGTGAATGTATGGGGTGGCGAGACACAAAGGAGGCTGTTTGGAGTAAGCGAGAGGGAGTAGAGAGTGAGAGGTACTCGCACCTGGAATCTGGACTTCAGGAAGACATTGAGTGACTTTTGGGCTTCCCCTCAAGAGGGAGACTTGATCGGAGGCTGCCATATCAGCATCGGATTGCTGCAAATTGCTACTTTGGTCTTCAGGCATCGACGGGGGATCCGGCTTTGCAACAGGGGTGTAGGAAGGCCCTCTTAGTTATGCTAGGACACTTCGTGTAGTGGTAGCTAGGGGTCAGGAGGACTTATATGAGAGGGGAGTGACTTGTTATCCATCTTGGGAGGCCGGGCCTCACATGTAAGTGCCGTGTGACCTGGGAAAGCCCGTGGGAGGTTGCTTGGTGCTTCATGGCCTGTTGGGGGTGTGTTGGGTTCTCTTCCTCTTCTCTGCGGTCTTGGTTGTGTGTGTGAGCTTGTGGATTGCTTTCTCACCTGATGGATGGATGGATGATGTATCTACTCTAAATGACATATCTTTCTGCGGTGCATTGTCTTTTCATTTTTGAACGGTTGTAGAAGTTCTTGCTGAAAGTTGTCTTCTCCTTTTCAGTACGGTAGAGGCAGTTTGGGACCGACTTGGTACCCCTATCACGTTGGTCCTGGTCCACGGCCTACTTAGGACCACTCGGGACCCAGTGGGACCAGGCCCAACTGGACAGGACCTTTTGGGCCCAAATCTGTTGTCGCTAGTGCATTTCTTTGCTGTGCTGGATTTGGGGGACATATGGACAGCAAGGGCATTCCTTTCAAGGGGATCTTGACTGGCCTTACCGCATGTTAGCACATACTGCCCCGCGTCTGACTCGACGACCATCTGCATCCCTCGAAATCTCCATTGCTGCAGATTAGTCTTCTTCGTCTGAATTATTGTGATGCATGTCCCCTATCAGGTTAGACAAGAGGGGATCTCCAGTTGATCTGATCGGGCCCGTTCTATAAATCAGACCTCTCTGCTGTTTTTTTATTTTTTTTTTATTTTTTTTTATTCTTCTGCTGCGTGCCACGCTCTAAGTCCAAATGATTCGCTGCTCCGGCTAGGAGTTCTACCTTCTTCTCTGAGTGGTTTTCAGTTTGTTTTTTTTATCTGAACTATCTATGTCCAGTATTGAGACGCGTGCGCAGATAGCGAAAAGAGAAGAAAGGGAGAGAGAAGGTGTTCTGTTTGAGAGTGTGAGGGGCAAGAGGAGTGTTCGTCCAAACGTAAGAAGAGAGCGGACCCCTCTTGAGAGTTCTACTGACACCCCTTCCTCCAGCATGGCGGTCATCACATCTGACCAATGGCAGGCCATGCTGACGCAGCAGACGAGAGCCAGAAACCATTTTTTCAAAAACTGTATGATGATGCCGTGCAGAGGAAAAGGGAGGCAGCGGCAGCAGCTAGAGCCGCCGACATTGCTGATCAGGTGGCTCTCCTTCGGATCCCGGAAGCCAATGCTGACCGGTTCCAAGAGGAACTAGCTGCTACTATAGCAACCTTGGTCCGACTGCGGACCTTGGAAAACCTGGAGTCTCGTATGACAGCACTTGAGCAGCGGAACGAAGAACTGCAGGCTAAAGTAATTAGCCTTGAACAGTCCCAGCTGTCTGCCTCCCGCCCTGCTAACCCTCGATCTGCTATAATCCCAACTTCTCAAGCCAACACAGCCCTCGTGCCAAGGGCAAGCGGAACTGTGGCAAGCGGAGGAACCGGCGCCAACTCCTCGAGCGGCAGCACCGACAGTTCTGCGCTGGTCACGGTCCCGAATGCAGGGACTTCAGCCCAAAACGCCACAGTTCTTACTGGCGTTCAGTACAGCGGTCGCATGGTGGACAAGCGGGCGACCACGCTGCCGTCCAAGTACGACGGGAAGGCAGACATCACCTCTTGGATTAGTTCCATGCGGTCGTACTTCGAGGTCATGCGGACATCGCAAGAGGACTGAAGTATGACCATGGGAACTAATACCGAGCCTGCCGTACGAAACCACATTGAGCTCCAAGCTGTTGCTGCAGGCTGTGCACGCATAGACCTGACTGATTGGCTGAAGGTCACCCCTGTCCGCGTTCTTGAGGATCTTCTCCTTGACCGGTACCAGGATAAACATGCTGCGCTTAAGGCTAGGCTGAAGCTTGAGGCCCTCAAGGGCCAAACATGGAGGTCATCCATGCAGGCTTTGAAACAACACTTGACTAGTCTGTTCACCACTCCGGATCTGGGAATGACTGACGTATCTTGTATGGATGTAGTCATGGAAGTGGCCCCTAAAGATTACCTCTCCCTGCTAGCACTCAAGGACCATGCCACCTGGCCCCTAGTCGACCTAGAGGCCAAGGACCTCGCCAGGCGCAAGAAGGCGCCCGCTGCAAGTGGGAAACCACAACGCAAGCGGTTTGGAAGCAGCAACAAGCTTGCACTGCATGATCATCGGGAGGCTGAAGATCAGTCCTATGCGGATGATCTGTCTCTAGATGACGATCTAGAGCCGGACTTCGATACGGGCTGTTCCACATCAGTCATTGAGTGTGACAGAAATGATGATGAGAAACTAAATGCATTCAGAAAGACTGCTTCAAATAAGGGGCCTAACCGTGGTTCAGGTAAGGGAACTGTCTTACACCTTCCCAAAAATGCTAAGATCCCTGAGAAACCGGAGGACGCTTCTACCAAGCCTTGGGAAGCCCTCCGCATCAGCCAAAAAGAATGGGAAAGGAGGTCCAAAATGCGCGTATGCTTGCATTGTTCAAAGCCTGGGCATGCTGTGCAGGATTGCTATCGTCTTCAGGGAAACAGGGAAGGGGCGTAGAGGAGTCATCAGCACTCTCTACAACAAGGGAAGCTGGGCAGTCAGTTGCAGGCCCTTCCGAGGAGCATGGATCTGATCAGCAGCGTGCTCTTGAAGCCCAAACTAATGCTGAATCCAAGGCTGATGTAGTCCAAGTGTTGTACACTGAGCCTTGGGAGGAGTCTAAAGAGGTCAACCTCCACGCCCACATGGAACACTGGCTGCAGCTCAAGCAGCAACGCCGTGTTCAAGGGAGCGTGGAGCTGACTTTCTTTAAACTACTTATTAACCGCCGATACATCCKTGTGCTGATTGACAGTGGTTCGACCACTAATTTCTTCTCTCCGAACGGGATTCGTAAGGCGGGCCTAGGTATGAAGCAAGTGGAACTGCAGAACCCTTGCCGGACTCAGGTGGGCAACCAAAAGGTTGTCACTCCCACTCATGCTGTCAAAGGTGTGCGCATCACCTTTGACAAAGATCGCACTGTCACTTACGTCCTGGACAAGTGTCCTTTCGACGCGGTCATTGGCTTGGGCTGGCTAAAGGCTCATTGCCTAAGGACCACTTGGGCGAACAACCAGTTCGTGGTACTTGACGCCAAGGGGAACGAGCGTACCGTCTTGTTAGATGAGACGCGCGAGTTCCCTGTGACTCTTCTCTGTGCTAACAAATTCTGCAGGTCAGTGCGCAGGCGCAAGGAAGCTGAGTTTGTACATATAGCTCTTGTAAAGCCTCTCCATGTCCCTTCTACTTTTGCTGCATTTTCTTCCTCTGAAGGTAACTCTACCTCTACTACTACTTCTGTTCCACCTACTTCTACTGTAAATGATCAATGTATTTCTGATCCAAATACTTCGAAACCGGTTGTGATTGCTGTAAATTCTCGATCTGATTTTCTCTCCCCTGACGAGGATGATCCGCCACCGGAAATCCCAGCGAACATTCGCCTTCTATTAGATCGATTTCCTGAAGTTTTGGCTGAACCTCGCGGAGTACCCGAGCGTCCAGTCAAACACAAGATCGAGATAGTAGAAGGGAGTGTTCCTCCAAAGGGTTGCCTCTACCGTATGGGACAAGGCGAGTTGGAGGAGCTGCGGAGACAAATCGATGACATGATTGATCGTGGATGGATTAGGCCTAGCGAGTCTGAGTTTGGCGCACCTGTTTTGTTTGTACCAAAGAAAGGAGGCAAACTCCGGATGTGTATTGATTATCGTGGCCTGAATCGGATCACCCGAAAGAATGCGTATCCTTTGCCCCACATTGGTTGCTAGATGCGGCAGGTGGGTGCAAGGTTTTCTCCAAGATCGACCTCAAGTCTGGCTACCACAAGATTGAAGTTGATCCGAGCGACCAGCACAAAACTGCGTTCAAGACACGCGATGGGCTGTACGAATTCATCGTTATGCCCTTCGGACTGACAAATGCGCCAACCACATTTCAGTGCCTCATGGACAAGGTACTTCGCCATCAGCTTAACAAGTTTGTGGTTGTGTACCTTGACGACATTCTAATTTTCAGCAAGTCCATGGATGAGCACGTCAACCATCTTGCGGAGGTTTTGCAAGTCCTCAAGGAAGCTCAACTGCACCTCAACTTAGAAAAATATGAGTTTGGCAGGGACAGTGTCATCTATCTTGGGCACCGGTTGTCCGCAAACGGCCTTGAGCCGGAGGCAACCAAGGTTGAGGTCATTCAAAACTGGCCTCAACCGGCGAACGTACGCGAACTGCATTCTTTTCTCGGTTTGGCTTCTTATTACCGGAAGTTTGTACCCAGATTTTCTATTATTGCTCACCCGCTCTCAAGACTAACCAGCAAGAATGTTGCCTATGCATGGTGTGAGAAGTGTGAGTCTGCGTTCCAAGCCTTGAAAGAGGCATTGGTGAGTCATCCTGTGCTTCGCATTGCAGATCCCAATCTCACGTTCGTAGTCACTACGGATGCGAGCCAGTTCGGGATTGGTGCAGTGCTGCAACAAGATGATGGTGATGGCCTGCGTCCGCTCGAGTATTACAGCAAACGCATGCCTAGCCACAAGGTAGCTACTTCCACATATATGCGTGAGCTTTACGCCTTGCGCGAAGCCCTAGCACATTGGAAGCACTACCTCTTGGGTCGCCACTTCAAGGTCTACTTTGATCATCAGACCTTGCAGTGGATTCAGACACAATCTGAACTCTCTCCTACATTGACCCGCTGGTTGCATGACATTKATGTTTWMAGTTTYGAGTTGAAACATAAGAAAGGCTRTTATAACCGGGTTGCTGATGCATTGTCCSGCCATCCTGAATTCTTGACTTGCCTTGTGGGTTCATACGACCTCCGAAGGAAACTGAAGGAGGATCTGGTTGAACACACCGCCAAGGATCCGGACCTCAGTCCCATCCTTGAGCAGCTCAAGGCTGACCCCATCAGTCAGCCTGATTTTCACGAATGCGAGGGTCTTGTATTCCGCCAGTACGGAAAGTTTAATCATTTGTGTGTTCCCAACCATGCGCCTCTCCGGACTCATTTCCTGGATTTGGCACATGGTCGGAACGGACATTTCGGCTTTGAGAAGACTTATGGAAGTCTTCTGCAGCAGGTTGATTGGCAAGGGATTGAAGGATCTGCTCAAAAATTTATTGCTGAATGTTAGGTATGTCAGAGAACCAAGGTCCATAGGCATAAGCCTTATGGCTTGCTAAGACCCCTCCCCATTCCTGATGGACCCGGTGAATCGATCTCCATCGACTTCACGGACATGGGAAAGGTGAGTACAGCAGGGAATTCACAGGTCATGGTCATCGTGGATCATTTCTCCAAATTTCTGAATCTGATCCCTTTTCCTCCCCATGCACCAACTGAACTTGTCATTGAGGAATTCCATCAGCAGAACATTCTGCAGTTTGGCGTCCCGAAAACTATTGTGAGTGATCGGGACACCAAATTCATCAGCAAAGATTGGAAGGACTTCACGTCGCAGATCTATGACATTAAACTGAACAAGACTTCTGGTCGACACCCCGAAGCCAATGGATTGGCTGAGGAGATCAACCAGACTGTCATCCAACTACTCCGTGCATTGATTGTTCCAGATGAGAACTCGTGGGACAAGGAGCTGCACAAGGTAAAGGGACTGTATAACAATTCCATTCACTCTGCAACTGGTGTGACACCAAACCAGCTCCAGTATGGATGGCCGATGCGCAATCCCCTCTCTTATCTGTTCCCAGAACGATCACCTGGTCTGATGCCCGGCATGCCTGGCTACAATGCCAAGTACGCACGCTTGCTCAAAAATGTGATCGCAACCATGAAAAAGCGTCAGCATGGCATGATCAAACATGCCAATAAGACGCGCAAAGAAGAGAAATTCAAAGTAGGGGATTATGTTTGGGTCAAAATGTCTGAGTTCTCTGACGAAGAGGGCGTATCATGAAAGCTCCTTCCTTTGTACTATTGCCCTTGGCAGATTCTGAAGGTGATCGGGGATGATTTTGGCCCTTCATTTGTAATTGACGTGCCTCCTCACTTGCGCACGTATCCAGTTTTTCATGCGTCCAAACTGTTTCCGCACATTGATGATGAAACTTTTCCTTTCCGGGACCCTATGATACCTTGCCCTATCGATGGCGGCCATGAGATAGACATAATCGTATCTCACGAGGGCTGAGGGAGGAACAGGCAGTGTAAGGTTCAGTTCCTCTATCACCCGTTGACTGAATTCTTCTGGATCGATCTGAAAGAGCTGCTAAAGAGTGCTCCCCGTGTTGTGAACCCTTACGAAAGACAGATCACCGAGGGACAGACCGCTAAGTTCGTAGCAACAATGACTCTTCATGGATTGACCAAGCCAGTACTTACCTGTGGCCGTGACTGTGAGGGTTGCAGGGGGGTAAACACGCCGGTAGCGGGGGGTAGGCCCACGACACTTAGAGCAGCTGGGGAAAAACACTCAAGTAGCAGGTAGGCCGAGCAGAAGAAGACAAAAAGTTGGCATTTTTAGAGGCCCAGTAGCGGTAGGTTAGAGGTAGGCCGGTATCAGTCCAAGTGGCCCGGGTCTAGGGCCTGTGCGGATAATAACAGAGCCTGCAATGATGTTTCCCTCCGAAAGGGAGGAGGTACCGGTTGCTGGGAGGCCGCTTGGCCTAGGAAGTCACAGCCCAGGAGGCCGGTAGGCCGCTATATCTTCGGGAAGAGCGGAGAGCTCCTCCTCATTTGCGGTATGAAAGGATTGGCGACATGCTGCTGGAGCGCAGCGCTGGACTGAGGCAGCGCTGCTTGGAGGTGAAGGTCCGCTGGGGCTCAGCCTGGCTATGGCGAGCACCCCAGCTTGAGGAAAAGGAAGAAGGGGGCATGGTAGGAGTGGTAGGGCACTTACCTGGCTATGGTGGACACCGTCTTCATCACCTTGTTGAGCGCTGCATCTGGAAGGCCTCAGTTGGGGTAGCGTTGCACTAGAGCAGCTCAAGGCAGAGTCAGGCATAGCGGACCAAGTCAAGCAGCGGCATAGCTGCTTTGGGTTGTCTTGGGACATCAGCGCAGCATCATAGCTG